ATAAATTAAAATGTTAAAATCAAATCTGATATTGTTTTACCTTTTATTTGGTGTGTGGAAGGTGTGCGGAAGAGGGAGTAGTCTTATACGCCGAGTATATAACAAACTCTGTATTTTGAGTGGAAATGTTAGGGGGTCGTCTTATACGCCCAGTCGTCTTATACCCCGGCAAATACGGTACTTGTGCATAAAACTATAGAGGTGTTACTAAGACACAGTTCCAGTCCTAAGTCCATAATCTACAGAATAACAAGCTAATTAAAACTGCAGAATAGCCTGCCCAGCGCAGCTTAGTGGTTGAGCGTCGACCTATGAATCAGGAGGTCACAGTTCAATTCCCGGTCAGGGCACATGCCCAGACTGTAGGCTCAATGGCAAATAAGGGGCATGCCAGAAGCAGCTGATCAATGAGTCTCTCTCATCACTGATGTTTCCATCTCTCTCCCCATCTCCTTTCCTCTCTGAAATCAATAAAAATATATTTAAGAAACAACAATAGTGGAGAATAAGGCACACATGTGATATAGGACACCAGAAAGCTCACTTTAAGAATGTTGAGCACATGGAGAACTACTTACATAGGAAGTAGTGAGAGCTTTATGGCCATGAGAGGCAGCAATGAAACTAGCAATTTTAATAGAGGCAGCAGTTATTGCAAAAGCTGTTCCAGGTAAGACCAGAGACCAGCAAGTAAGCTAAATACCCCAGCTTCCTTTCAACAAGAAAGCAAAAATAGCATACCTTTTTCTTGGAAATGTTCAATTTGCTTCCAATGACTTCTGCCATTTTCAATTTGCTTGTATGCTTGGAAAGCATTGCTGTGAAACAGTCCAGAGCCTATTAAAATAAGTAAGGTAAGTGCCCCTGATGTTTAAAATAACACATTAATAACAGAGTGTCAATCTCTTGGCCACAAAAGGGAGGAACATAAAATCCAGCAAAACATTTCTGCAAATCTAAGAAGAGTCCTTGCCGAGGCCGGTTTGGCTCAGTGGATAGAGCATCGGCCTGCGGACTGAAAGGTCCCGGGTTCGATTCCGGTCAAGGGCATGTACCTGGGTTGCGGGCACATCCCCAGTGGGAGATGTGGAGGCAGCTGATCGATGTCTCTCTCTCATCGATGTTTCTAACTCTGTATCTCTCTCCCTTCCTCTCTGTGAAAGATCAATAAAATATATTTTAAATAAAATAAAATAAAATAAAAAGAAAAAGAAGAGTCCAAATAAGACACCAATGCTAGACACAGGGACCTTGCCATTATAGAGGCAGGACACAAATGTGAAGGCTTTACTATCATTGTACTGGTTAATTAGGGGAGGGAAACAAAACAAAATAAAAGAAACTCATTCAGGTAAAAATAGCAACAATGTTCATCATCAGGTGTATGGTCCACGGGGGGCGGCGGGGGCGGGGGGACGGACGACTTATTCTCAGACAGTGGAAGCAATACCAAAACATTACTTTCTAGCTATAAAGGAAAACTCCTGGTAGGCAATAAAGGAATCCATTGCCTTACTTTAACTCAGTACTCAACCTTAGCAACTACTTATAGGCCAACCAGGTATGTATCTGCTGATGTAATACAATAAAAAGTACATATCACCAGCAAAAATGGATTCTACTCCCAAAAAAGTTGAATTTTAATACCTCAAGCACTTTGTTAAATATATTTACAAGAGAGAAGACCGATAATATGACAAGAGAAAGGATACTATGGGTGTGGCAAAATGAAGAATAGATAACAAATCCTCAGGTAACATTTTGTTCAACATTATTTTGATGACGTTGATGTTAAAAAAATAATCAATTCTGGCTGGGGCTACTGTCTGTGTGGTGTGACCCATGCCCGTGCGGGTTTTCTCCCACATCCCAAAAATGTGCATGTTAGCAAGCTGAGCCTGAGTGAGTGTGTGTGAATGCGCCCTATCCTGGAGGATGCCCTGTCCAGCGTCAGGTCCTGTCTTGCACCCAGAGCTGCTGAGAGAAGCCACCCATGACCCTGAACTAGAATAAGTGGGATGGAAAATAATTATCTTGCTTATAAATCTTCTTACAGGTATGTATAGCTCATTTACTTCAATGTTTAATATTAAAAGTGTTTGAGATCTTTATTTAGAAGTTTGTGACCAGAAGTATGTTGCACAAACTTAACTCTTAGTCTATGATAAAACTGGTTTCATTATCTGTCATTTTGCTTTAAGTTGCCATTTCCAAAAACCTATCAATGACATTAAGTAAGGACTTACTGTACCTGGTTCTGCCACCATCAAGTATATTATATCAATAAACATCACACAAGCATTTAAATAGGAGAGAATGTACTTGGTCTTTGTCCCTAATTCCTGGCACAGAGCTTCAATAACCCTTGGAATGACCAGGAACAAGGAGTATCTTTTATTCTTTACTAGACCCTCTGAACCATACCAGAGTTTATTCTCTGGATGAGGCCCTTAGATAGTTTAAAGGTAAAGCTGGCCAGCCCAATAAGGCCAATGTCTGATTGGAGGGTTGAAACTTTCACCTCTTCCCCCAAGCTCTGCAGAGGGTAGAGGGGCTAGAGACTGAGCTCAATCACATAGCTAATCTATAATAATAAAAGCATATGTTAATTAGACCGGACAGCCGATCGACCTTCTGATGAAGCCGCAGCGGCGGGGGCCGAGGCAGAGGCGTTTAGGGGTGATCAGGCACGTAGGCAGGTGAGCGGTTAGGGGCAATCAGGCAGGCAGGAGAATGGTTAGGGGCGATCAGGCAGGCAGGCAGAGTGGTTAGGGGCAATCAGGCAGGTAGGCAGGCGAGCTGTTAGGAGCCAGCAGCAGTGGGACATCCCCCGAGGGGTCCCAGATTGCAAGAGAGTGCAGGCCGGGCTGAGGGACACACAGACGGACGGGGACGGGCACACACACACACACACACACACACACACACACACACACCAGTGCATGAATTTCGTGCACTGGGCCTCTAGTGACATAATGAGACCTAAACAAAATACTGGACATCCAAAGCTTGGACAGCTTCCTCATCGGTAGACATAGTCATGTACCAGAAGATGGCATACCCTGACTCCACAAGAACAGAAGCCCCTGTACCTGGGACCTGTAAGACCTTGCCCTATGCATCTTTGTTCCTAAGTTACACCTTTCATATTAAAACTGTAACCTGCACTGAATTGTGCTTTCAATGAGTTCTGAGTCCACTACTGAACCTGAGAGGTTGTGGGAACCCTGAATTTATAGCTAGTAGGTCACAGTGTGGCTGGCCCCAGACACTTGCAGAACTAAAGAAGATAAAAGCACTCTTACCAACGTTACACTTTTATTTTAAAAATACAAAACACGGTTACCTATAACACACATAAGAAATGTCGGAGAATGGAAAGAGTTCGCTGGAGAAGAATGAGATTAGACTGGCACACTGCATGTCAGGGTTAGGCTGAGCATAAATATACACTCCAAATGAGGTTTCTTTCTACTCAAAAGTAACTTTACCAACACAAAGAGATACTGCAAACCAAACTGGGTCACTATTTTCTCCTCAGTCCCAACTGACAGAAACCAGAGCACTTTATAATCAAAACTGGACATCTTAAGAAAACATATAACTACTTTTATTCTTAAGCAGGAGGGAACAAATCTGTGTTCTTATTGAATATGGCAGAGTTATAATTCAAAAGGGCTCTATTCTATACGAAATGTGTTCCTTCCCACCCATAACATTTTTTCCCAAGCCCAGCATACAAGGTTATACTTTGCAACCTCCACATAAATTTCTCTGGACTAAAATTAAAGGCCCTACAACCCTACAAATCTAACATATAGACTAAGAAATTACACATAAGAATAAATATTAAACATCTTAGAAACACTTTATACTTTTTAACATTATCATCACTGTGAGATTTTTTTTCATTTTACCTTTAATTTTAGTACCTGTTTTATTCTATCTCAAACTATACTTATTTGAACCACAAAACATTTATATGCTCAATTAGTCTTAAGGCAGCATTAGTTCAGTTTTAACTAGCTAAGGATAATAACAATAACCACACAAAAGAAAAACTCTGATAGCAGTCAAGACACAGAAAATAACAATGGAAATCAACAGCCTGATAGAACACAGAGAAAACAAGAACACTGTAACTTACCTCATGAAAAATATGTAATGATCCTGATGGACACAGATTATGAAAGCTATGGGCAATCCTATTACACCAATTCAGAAGATCCCTTTAAAAAAAAAAAATCAAGAAATAAAAAACCATAGACTAAAGACATCAAAGGCATCAGTTTATTTGGTCCACTTAAGTCTGGGACTCCTGATAACAACACCTCCTTTCTTCAGGCAATGTGAAGATAAACAAGTGTCAGAGGAAGGAATAAGTGAGTGGTCCCAGTCCCTACCCCTGCCAGAAAGTGACCTATCGCTCATTTCTCCCCCATCGATCCACACAAGTAGCAGGAGAAGAGGAGCAACTCTCAGAGGAAACTGCGGGAGTTGCCCATTTCTAATTCTCACTTCTCAAAGGGCAAGTCAGCCATGGAGAATAGAGAGAAAAGGTACATAACTCAGCATGTACAGCAAAATACTAGGGTCTTTTTTAAGACCACGAGTGTCACAAAGGCTATCCAGTGAAAAGAATTATCAGTAACTATTCCCCACTCTGCTTTAAAAGTTATTTTTCAAAGCGAAAATAACATGACAAGTCTTCCTAACGAGTAACTAGACCTGAAAAAAGGATCTGACACCATGAAGCAGCCCAGAAGTCTAATTTCAAACCTGACCTCTTGTAAGCATAGTTCTAGCTGCTAAGAACTTTTGAGGGAAGCAGTTTTTAAAATAACAACTCAAAAAGTGTTTAGTCCAGTACCTTAGAGACAATTCTCTCCCCTCAAGGCTTAGTCTTTTGTTTTCTGTTCTGGCTTCCGAAACTTCCTTAGGTACCTGTTCACATCCAACAGAACTATCACTCTGAGAGTGGTGTTTCTCTCCAGTAAGCTGGGTGTAAATGCCAAGCAGGTGGTCAGTTACTGCCAACAGGCTGGGGTATCTGTTCTGAAGAACCTGACAGAAGGAGAAAAAGGCAAAGAAAATTTAGCAGTAGACACAGTGATTTTTAAAAACACATGTAAACTACTCCTGACACTAGTCAACCAAAAAATGTATAGCTTGCCCCAGCTGGTTTGGCTCTGTGGATAGAGCATCGGCCTGCGGACTGAAGGGTCCCAGGTTCGATTCCGGTCAAGGGCACATGCCTGGCTTGCGGGCTCGATCCCATGTGGGGCATGCAGGAGGCAGTCAATCAATGATTTTCTCTCATCATTGATGTTTCTATCTCTCTCTCCCTCCCTCTCCCTACCTCTCTAAAATCAATAAAAACATATTTTAAAAAAAATGTATAGCTCTATGAAATTTGTCATTTTACCAAGGTATAAGAACTTCCCCCTTACCCACAGCCCCTTCCCTCTCAAAGACTCTAATTTTTTTTCTACCCAGAACTCAGTTGTCTGGCAATCTCACCAGAGCTTAGGATGTAGAAGCCAGATAGGAAAAAAGTCTCTAAAGCAGTGGTTCTCAACCTTCTGGCCCTTTAAATACAGTTCCTCATGTTGTGACCCAACCATAAAATTATTTTCGTTACTACTTCATAACTGTAATGTTACTACTGTTATGAATCGTAATGTAAATATCTGATATGCAGGATGGTCTTAGACGACCCGTGTGAAAGGGTCATTCGACCGCCAAAGTGGTTTCGACCCACAGGTTGCGAACCACTGCTCTAAAGCAACATATACACCCAACTCCCAATAATTTACTCACTAAAGAATCTTGCAAGTACTATTTACTCACTGTAAATACAATTCAAGTATGATTCATTTCTCAGCCAAAAGCAAATTACAAGCAGTCAATTGGAAAGAGAAAATAACCTTTTAAAAGCAAACCACAGTAAAAGGAGCTGGTGTTAAGTACTGATCAAAAGCAGTGATCTTTTTTTTTTAAATATATTTTATTGATTTTTTACAGAGAGGAAGGGAGAGGGATAGAGTGTTAGAAACATCGATCAGCTGCCTCCTGCACACTCCCCACTGGGGATGTGCCCGCAAGCAAGGTACATGCCCTTGGCCGGAATCGAACCTGGGACCCTTGAGTCCGCAGGCCGACGCTCTATCCACTGAGCCAATCCGGTTAGGGCAAAAGCAGCTGATCTTTAAAAAGCAAACAATAAAATTTGAAAAAAACTCATCCTGTTCAACTTCGATAACTGAGAGTTTTCTGCAATATAATACTTGGTGCTCCTAATATTGATTCCAACGTTTTATGATATAAAATTGTTCAATCAAATCTATTTGAGAAGAGAAATATCACGTACATATTAGTAATATTACCATCCAAAATATTTAGATAAGCTTGAAAAGAATATTGTGATTCTAGTTTGTATATAAAATTGGTATATTCAAATTTGTATATATTAAATCGTCTCTAAGTGGTAGCTCAGATTTTATTTCTTCATATCTAGTTTTATTGGAGGATTTTATAACAAATATGATGAAAACATGCTTCAGATGGTTTAAAAATTAAATAAGGACAAGAGAATAATAAAATAAACAAATGCAATTTAACGGTTACACTCGTGGACCTTTCAAATATAGACTATACAGTTTGTGTATGAAGGGAACACCTATAAAATTCATTATACATTTATGACCTTGGTCAAACTATTTCACCCCTAAAATAAAAAGTTCCCTCGCACCCCTTTTATAATCAAACCCTTCCCCGACCCCCTGCCCTGGGAATCACCAAATCTGGTTCCATGGTTTTAAGTATGTCATTTTTATGGACTCATACAGGATTCATGTGTAGTGCAGGTTCTCTTACTCAAGTTGTTTTTGAGATTCATCCAGACATTACTACATGTATCAGAAGTTCATTCCTTTTTATTGCTGAGTGGTAATTTCATTATATAACTATGTACATTTATGATCAGAGTGATAAAAAGCTATTTTTACTTGGAAAAAATTCTTGTCAAGTTTAACACTTTAGTAAAATCTCAGCTATTTGGGAAAAAATTCTGAATTAAAAAAGATTTATATGTATCCACTAACCAGTCATTTTCTACCTTAGCCAAAAATATCTGTTCTTCGTTATCACAAATAAAAAATTTAAACATAGTATCATTTAATAAACTAATCTGACATGATATGGCTCTATTATCAAATGATGTGCATCTTAGAGATTCATTCCTTTGATAAGCATTTATTAAGTACCTACTTTATATCAGGCACTGTTCCAGGGAAAGGACAACAAACAAATAAGGAATGGAGCCCACCCTTAAGTAACTCCATCTGGCATAAGAAGCAGATATGCAAGCAAATCAAGCTTACAACACAAAGGTCAGCCCTGCTTGGGAGATGCACCTGGCAGAGGTCAGCAGTGGCTGTGAAAGCAGAGAAGGCAGGCCATCGAAGGCACCAGCACTAAGACATCTGGACACGTGCAAGGTGTAGGGGAGACAACATTTGAGGAACTGCTAGAGGTGAGTTCCTGGCATGCACCAGGTATGAGAATAGCACTACATAAATAGCTCATTTTTTAAAGTATAATTTGATTTTTTTGGCAAGAAGTAAAAAAAAAATCTTTCTGAGCATAAGACTACTGTGGTTGGCAGCAACAGAAATACAGTTCCTTGAAGAAATTATTTCATTTCCTAAGTAATGCTCACAAGGGTTTTACCACTAACCATTTATTCAGGAGAGTGTTACTGAGATTTATTAGCAAGTCCAAACGCCTAGAAATGACAAGCGAGCTTCTCAAAGTCAACTGTCTAAATATGACATATGCCATGGAAGTGAGGAGGTGAATGCTCCTGTTGTGCTTCCTATGAGCAGGGTAACTCACTGCTATGCATGACAGAAAAAAAAAAAAAATAAGCTTCAGCTTGAATTTAAAGTACAAAAACCAAAACTAAGAAAAGAATAGTTGTCAAATGTTCTCATCCTCTTAAGCCCCAATAAATCACACCTAAATGTGAACTTTAGTCCTCTCCTTTATAGAATAAACTGGAATTTAAGTCTGAAAATTAAACATCTTAAATGTCTACAATTGCAAAAGAAAGTGCTGCATTATGACAGAGCCCTACAACAAATGATGCTTTTAAGTATATTACCAAATAAAAAATATTAGATGAATTTAATACACAAAAATGTTAGCACATTAACTGTTAGCAAATTAGGTTGATGAGTATTTTGGGGATTCATTATATTATTTCCTCTATTTACATGTAAGTCTGGAACTTTTAATAATAAAAAGCAAAAAAGAAAAGCATCAATACTTTCTAATAACCACATACCTCATTCAGTTCTGTCTTATCCATGTTATCCAGGTGAATTTTGGTCCAATGTTTGTCTAGCAGAGTAGCATGACTACTTAGTGGTCGATACCAGTTCCCTCCACAGCTCAAAAGTCTGTATTTCAAAATAAAAAAAGTCACAAAAAACTCCCAATTTTAATCTTGAATTACAACCCTGGTTATCCCTTGCTAGACATTATCTCACATACAAATAAAACTCCCATCCCTTTTGGAGCTATGTTGGACTTCTAGGGCAGATAACAAATGAAAGGCTGTCAACAGACCCAAATTTGACTCTTTTCCTTCAGGGGAGTAATAGAGCTTTAACCAAGTTATTTTCAAGTCACTGCAAATGATTCTATTAGGTGATTTAATCTCAACAACGTATTTCTCTTCCATAAGACATAATTTCAGGAAAGAAAAGACCTACAGCATTCAAGTTCACTGCTAGTTACCAAAAGCTATATACCCAAATCATTTAAAATGTCTGGAGGAATATTCATGAAGCAAATACTCTGGGCAAGCCACATACACCAAAGCCATTTGATTTAATCCTTACAACTGTCTTGAGGGGATCATGCCCTTCTTTATTCCTAACACATAAGGAAGAGAAGGAGAATAATGCCCCTGGCTCACTCAACTACGACTATAAATGACAGAGCCCACAGCTGATGTCCCAGGACTTTCTGGGAAATGTACCTAATAGGAGAGAACTTTACTATCCCCGTAAATAAAACCAGGGTCTATTAAAATCAGCAGGGCCTAGCAAGGTGTTTCTTGAGAACTGTTAGGTTAGTGCCACATTCCATCTGGGAGTGAATACTCCACTGAGGTATAATAAACACTAATATAATCACTAAATATAATGTGACATTAGTTCCACTCTTGGGAATTTTAAGACCTGTACAGGTATAGACTAGCAGCAGGAAATAAGCTGTTGCCTTTGTGTTGTTATACACTGTAGACAAGAACACATACAAAGTTTGCTTTGGTTTTATTCCTATGTTGATGCTTATAGTCAATCAAGTTTTTTAACTGCTTAAAATCTGTACGTCATTATAACCATCATCATGGCAAGCCATTAGTTGGGCACTTACTATGTGAAAGGTTTTCAGGTGGGTTTTTTTTCAATATATTTTTTATTGATGTCAGAAAGGAAGGGAGAGGGAGAGAAAGATAGAAACATCAATGATGAGAATCATTGATCAGCTGCCTCCTGCTAAATGTATCTCCCTGTCTGTCTCTCTGTCTCTCTGTCTCTGTCTCTGTCTCTCTCCAATTAGGTCTCTATAAAAAGCATGAACCTCCTGTGCCAGGTCCTGCCTAGTTACAAAAAAAAAAACCAAAAAAAAAAAAAAAAAGACCGTACCCTTTTATGTAATGATGTTTACTTTGAATTTATATTAGTTCACACAAACACTCCCTCCATGCTTTTGTTCTGGCCCTACGGTCCAGTTTAAGAACCCATTGTGGCCCTCGAGTCAAAAAGTTTGCCCACCCCTGCTCTAGTAGATCTATAAATTGACAGATAGTTAAATAGATATGGACACAATTTATTTTAACAAATTGGCTTGCTTGATTGTGGGGGATTGCATGTCTGATATCCATAGTACAAACAGCAGGCTGAAAACTCAGACAGGATTTGATGTTGTCATTTTTTTAAAAAAATATATTTTGTATTGATGTCATAGAAAAAGGGAGAGGGAGAGAAAGATAGAAACATCAATGATGACAGAGAATCACTGATTGGCTGCCTCCCGCACACCCCCCACTGGGGATTGAGCCTGCAACAGGGGCATGTGCCCTTTACTGGAATCAAACCTGGGACCCTTCAGTCCACAGGCCAACACTCTATCCACTGAGCCAAACCAGCTAGGGCTGTGAAAGGTTTTTAATGCAAGTCGTTTAATCACTTAATCTTTACAGCTTACACTAAATTTTAAAGTAGGTATTATTAGCCCCATTATAACCAGAAAAGAACAAGGTACACACAGGTACAAAGTATCACCTTCAGAACTCAAACCCAGGGCTACCTGATAACAATCTTGCCTCTGATAATTTTTGAAAACATGAAGACAGTTCTTTGTAAAAACACACCCTTATTTTCTAAATTAATTATCTCCATTAAAAGTTGTAAGGGCTCGCCAAAGCCCGTTTGGCTCAGTGGATAGAGCGTCAGCCTGCGGACTGAGGGGTCCCGGGTTCGATTCCGGTCAAGGGCATGTACCTTGGTTGCGGGCGCACCCCCAGTGGGGAGTGTGCAGGAGGCAGCTGGTCGATGTTTCTCTCTCATCGATGTTTCTAACTGTCTATCTCTCTCCTTTCCTCTCTGTAAAAACTCAATAAAATCTCTGTAAAAAATCACATAAAATATATTTAAAAAAAAAAAAAAAAAAGTTGTAAGGGCTCTAACCAGCATGGAGCAATGATTAGAGTGCCAGTCCTCGCACCAAAGAGTTGCAGATTTGGTTCCCAGTCACGGGCATATACTTGTATTGCAGTTTCGATCCCCAACCCCAGTCGGGGCACATGCAGGAGACACCCAATGGATACGTCTCTCTAACACAGTGGTTCTCAACCTTCCTACTGCTGCAACACTTTAATACAGTTCCTCATGTTGTGGTGACCCCCAATTTCATTGTTACAAATTGAACATAATTAAATCATAGTGATTAATCACAAAACAATATGTAATTATATATGTTTTCCGATGGTCTTAGGCGAACCCTGTGAAAGGGTCGTTCGACCCCCAAAGGGGTCGCGACCCACAGGTTGAGAACCGCTGCTCTAACATCAATGTTCCCCCCTCTCTCTCCCCTCCTCCTTCCTTCCCTTCCGCTCACTGTAAAAAAAATCAATGGAAAAAATATCCTTCGGTAAGGATTAACAAAAAGTCAAAGTCATAAGGAATGAAGACTGGCCGGGGGCTCAGTTTGCTGGAGCACTGTCCAGGACAACCAAAAGGCTGCAGAGTTGATTCCCAGTCAAGGCACATATCAAGGTTGTAGGATTGATCCCTGGTTGGGGAGTGTACAGGAGGTAATGGATCTGTTTCTCTCTCACATCAATGGTTATCTCTCTCCCCCATCCTCTCTCTCTAAAATCAACAAAAACATATAAGCAGTCAGGAATGAGAAGGTTGGCTGCCATCAGTTCCAACTAACCTTACTTAAAGTCACCCAGAGAACTCTATTCCAGGACTTTTGTGCACAGCTCTAGTGTACAGACTTTTGAGGAAGAGGTTCCACAGTGGAAATGCGACATACCTCCTGGTTGCAAAGAACTGAAATCCAGGAGCCACTTTTAGACAGTCACCTCGGCCAGGAATCAAGAGCTCTCCATTCTCCAAGAGAGGGATCAGTACGGAAACCTAAATCACAAAACTCCACTGATAAAGCTATTAAGACAAAAGTAACAAAAAAACCCACCCTTCTCCAAATAATAAACAGATGCATAAAAGAAACCTCAGCTCTCATAGCATGAACTAGGATCAAAAGGCAGGTGGGAAAGGCTGAGCCACCCCACTACAGAAGAACAAGTTACTTTCAACATTCCCTGAGTGCCTATATGGACCAGAAGCAAGCAATACCCTCAAAATCCAGACATGCCTGAGGCTTCACAGCCTATGGCAGCTAATGGGAGATGGCTATGCAAAGCATCACACAACATGACCAGTGTGAACCCAGAGATGCACAAAGTGACATGTGAAAAGAGTGGCTGTAAATCAGAAGTGAAGCCATCCCAAAGGTAATGACATTCACCAAGTCTTAAAGTATGAGCCGGTATTAGCCAGGTTCGGTGGGAGTGAAATGGCACATACACTCCAGGCAAAATATTCAAATGGATAAAAATGTATATGCCTCGGTATGGCATGAGAGGACTATGTTATGGTTAGGGCAGAATGTGCATACAAAGTAGTAGAAAAATACAAGGCTTAAAGACAGATGAAAAAGGGCCTCCTGTGTTGAGCAAGGAATTTGAGTTTTTTCATGAAAGTTATTTAAAGGATTTTAGCCTGCGGGCAGGGAGGGAAATTACACTTTTTTTTTTTTAGATAACCAACTGTGCAACATTATGGAAGATAACTAAAGAGTTAGCTTGGAGTGAAAGAGGTGAAAGGACAGCAGCTAGGTAAGAAAGGAAGGAAGAAAGAAAGAGCCCTGGGCTAAGGCAGTGGGATAAGTGAGAACAGAACAGAAAGTCTGAGAAATGTTAAGTCTGAGTGAGAGACTAGAAGAGGGAGACATCAACCTTCTGGCTTGGTAACCTTCCGTGTGGCAGAAAAACTGTTTTGAGAAAGAGCAGACATATTGGACAACTTGAACTTGTGCTCGCTAAGGAATATCCAAGTAGAGATTCTTCAAGAAAAGTGAGGACTGCATATACGGATATGGGGATGTGAGTTTATAGGGGAACAAATAACAAAGAGCCAAGGAAGAGGTTTCTAAAATATCAGACATAATTTTCATTGTTTCATACATGGCCAGGAGCTGAAAGGAAAGCCCAAAACAGCATAGGGGCAACTCCAAGATAATGCCAAAACTTGAAACTAAAAAAAAAAAAAAAAAAATCATCCTAAAGGAGATCTGTAAAAGCTGCCTTAAAATATTAACTGAGAAATTCTGAAAACAAAATAATAATCAAGAAATAAAGTATGTTTTTAAGTAAACACAACTTCACTATGATGATAATTATGTTTAACTATAATCAACTGAACAACACACCTTCTGAAAACAATTTAACAGAAGGGGAATGGTCTGCACAAAACGCAACTCAAAGTACAGGAATTTTCTAATGTTTATCAGACACTGCCAAAAGATCAGGACAAATCATCCGTTTGGCCTTGAATCTGGACTTTGTTATCAAAGAATATACTTAGCAATGGGATAGTGATAGATCCCTAGGTTCTACCATGACATGGATGGAGTATCACTCATACTCATCTACTTCTTGGGCTCTAATTCCACCATCCACCATCCTAATGATTTCCAGGTACCCTGATGTCTGAAAAAATTGCCCAGGAAAGAGAGCACTAGAAAGGGAAAAAAGTCTCAACAAATGCTTTTAACCTGCCTGGTAGCTTATAATTCAGTTTTATTTTTTAAGTCTCATTGGTAGCAATCAGCCTTGGCTGATTAAGAAAAATGAGTTCCAGCCCTATAAAACTGAGTATTAAGACTCTAAAACATGATGATCAAACTGAGGCTCTGCCTAGGCCAATAATACCATTACATCTTTACCTAAAATCATCATAATACACATGTATTTATAGATACTCCTTCCCTTTCATATCTCCCTCTCCTTCACTCTCTCTCCCTCGCCTCCTCCTCTCCTATCCTTCTCTCCCCCCCTCCTTCATGTTATTCTCATATCCAAGAGGGAAAAGTCCATATGCAGTTAAGTATAAGGTTCATGTTAAAAGAAAATTAAAACCAATCTCAGAAAAAACTGTCCAAACTAAGAACTGTTTATTCTGTTATTTGTTTCCTTGGTCATAGTTTATAGACTACAGAGGAAACATGGACTGCCTCCATAGCTAAATTTTATACACATAGAAAAGTGATCTTTTTAAAAACAATAATATACATCCAATATCTTTTCCTTAATGGAACAAAGACAAGCACACTGCTAATACATCATCTGTCCTCTGAGAAGCAGAATCTCAAAGTTCTCAGTGTATCTGAAACAGAGGTAAGATGTTTCCCACTGGGCTGATTCATGGAAGGGCTGTTAAAACTGGCCACATATTTGACTGAAGGAGGGAACTTTTGTGAAATTGGTCACATTATACTACTAAAGGAAACAGTACAAGCAGAATTTTATCAATTTTCTATCAAATAAGAAACCAGCCAAGTAAACCAAGACCTCAAACCAGGTAGGTAACCATGAATGACCTCTTACAACATTTCTCTAATCAAACGCCTATGTTTAAATTATCCCCTAGAATCACTAACAAAATATGCTCTTTAAAGACAGGAAATTAGCAAAGCCACATACCACATCTAAGGGGGCATAGTCAATATCCTCCAGTAGGATCCAGTGTCCTTTTGTGGCTGCCTGTGTCAGGGTGCCAGGCTGCCACACAAACTCTCCTGGGACATCTGTGCAGCGGTACATTCCCAGCAACATCTGCAGAAAGAAAATTATTATTCAAATCACACATCTGAGGTCACTGCTATATCCTTTAATTCTATTAAACTTCTACCTATGTATATACATAAAAGCCTAAGCGACCATCTGACCGGTAGCTGTGACGCACACTGACCACCAGGGGGCAGATGCTCAATGCAGGAGCTGCTAAGCTGCGGTGACCTGGCAGCTGACACACCCAGAACCAGACAGGAGGGAGCCCGATTCTGGGTGCATCGCCTGAGAACTGCCCTCTCACAATCCAGGACCCCTTGGTGGATGTCGGAGAGCCGGAGAGCCGGTTTCAGCCCGATCCCTCAGGCCAGCCCGAGGGACCCCACCGATGCACAAATCCGTGCACCGGCCCTCTAGCAGAAATATAAGCAAGCATTTGTGTTTTTAGAGCTTGGTCCCATCGGTTCTGAAAGACCAGTAACTATTATTATAGTCCCTTAGCAAAAACAGTATTTTAATGCAAACAGTTATAAGCATGCTAATCCCACAAAACTTGCCATTTCTTAATTACCTTACTGTCGGTCTGATCTCCAAGCTGAACTTTGAGAAGTTCAGGGGGCTTCCTTCTACCTGTCATTGCAGCTAAATGTTCAACTAAAGAAGTTTTGCCGCATCCTATTGGTCCTTCCAACAACACAGCATTCTGAGAAGCCACTGCCATAGCCAGGGTCTGAAGATTTTTGCAGACTGACTCAACCAGTACATAAGAACTAAAGGCCAGCTCTTGTTCATGAGAAGAACTGCTGTTACTAGCCTAAGGAGGCAAGTGAGAAATAAAAAGCATGTCAAGAATGAGTCCTTTCTCCAAAAGGCACAGGTTAAATTTCTACAGTGCTTCCTCTGATCTTTACATAAACCTCTGCCAATATATTAGCAGTACCAGAAGTATAACAACAATAGGTATATTATCCAAAGTAAAGATCTGACTGTTTTTTCTTTCCTTTCTTCCTCAACTCCTGCCTTTGGGGGATAAAGTAAAAAATTCACTACCAAATTTAAGAAGTTTCCCAAAATTTCAGAAGCCAAAAAAGCTGACACACAAGGGATGGGGACAAACCACAACTAGATTATTTTTCTTTTCCTTCCTCTTGCCATATCCTAGGGTTTCATATCTAAGATAGAGAATGTATACAAGCCCTGGCTGGTGTGGCTCAATTGGTTGGAGCATTGTCCCATACACCAAAAAGTGGCGGGTTCGATCCCTGGTCAAGGTACGAGTGGGAGGCAGCCAGTTGATTTAAGCTGTTTTCTTTTACATATACACTAAAATATTTAGATATGAAATGATGTAGCATCTGAGAGTTGCTTTCAAAATAATGTGGTATGGGTAAAGTGTGCAGAAATAACAATGAAACATAATTGATCACAAATTTATAATTATTGAAAAAGAGTGATGGGTAGGTAAATGGGGGCTCATTAAACCATTGTTTCTACTTTAGAATGTGTTTAACATTTTCCATAACAAAAAGTTAAAAATAATAAGATAATGTGCCCAATGTTTAATGAGTACAGAGTTTCAGCTTTGCAAGATGAAATGTTATGAAGTCTGCACACCAATGTGAATACACTTAATACCACTGACATGTACACTAAAAAAAGTTTAAGATGGTAAATATTGTGTATTTTACCACAATTAAAATTTTAAAAAAAATAATAATGCACCTAACATAATAGAGGAAAAATGATCTCTTGGAAAAGTGGAATGATTATTATCTTTTAAGAAATAATAATTCTCTAACATGGCTAGTCCCTTAAAGATATGTGAGGATAAAATAAGATTCAGGGCTGAAAGTTATTTGCAACTTCCTGAAGGGCTATCTATTACAGCAATTTAGCAGGTGGGCTGGGCCATAGCACGATTCTGCACTCTGCCCCCAGTGCCATGCCATTGCTACCCAACATCAAGCCCATCCGAACCAGAATCCTTCCTATATTAAAATTCTAATGCTCCAAACATTATCTATGTAAGGAGAGTGGTTAAGAGGAGGTGGGTTTTAGCGACTAGAGGGAAACACAGGGGTCTTGGAAGTGCTGATATCTTAGTGCTGGTTACACAGATATATCCAGTTCATGAATAATCACTGAGATGTACACTTAACAGGTGTGGTTTTTTACATGTATACTGTACTACTACTTTTTTGTTTTTTAATTGCACTACCAAGTGACAAACCTATGGTTCAAGGAACAACCCAGGACTTGTTCCAAGAAGAAAATTGGGTAGGTGTGACCCAAGTAACAACTGATAAAAGACTGCTGCGGGGTGCCTAGCTGGTTTGGTTCAGTGGATAGAGTATCGGCCTCCGGACTGAAGGGTCCCAGGTTCGATTCTGGTTAAGGCAGTAGTTCTCAACCTGTGGGTCACGACCCCTTTGGGGGTCGAACAACACTTTTCACAAGGGTCGCCTAAGACCATCGGAAAACACATATATAATTACATATTGTTTTTGTGATTAATCACTATGCTTTAATTATGTTCAATTTGTAACAATGAAAATACATCCTGCATATCAGATATTTACATGACGATTCATAACAGTAGCATAATTACAGTTATGAAGTAGCAATGAAAATAATTTTATGGTTGGGGGTCACCACAACATGAGGAACTGTATTAAAGGGTTGCAGCATTAGGAAGGTTGAGAACCACTGGGTTAAGGGCACATACCATGGTTGCAGGTTCCCTGGCCCTGGTCAGGGTTCATGCAGGAGGCAAACAATTGATGTGTCTCTCTCACATCAATGTTTCTCTTTGTCTCTCCCTCTCCCTTCCACTCCCTTTAAAAATCAATGGAAAAATATCCTCGAGTGAAGATTAACAAGCAAAAAAAAAAAGACTGCTGGGGGTGGGGGGGTGGGGGGTGAGGACAGAAAACAGACCGGTTCCCAGTGGTTCCAGATTATGGAACCAGATTATAAACTGTTAAGTCTTTCCCAAGTGTGCTCTAGAGCCACATTCTTAGAAAGGTCATTTCATATGGGCAGGGGGAAGTTCTCTGCAGATACCAGCCTCCCCGACAACAGACAAAGAGAAAATTCTGACAGAAAGAGGTGGCTGGGCCTAGCCCCGTGTCAGCCAATGTGCAACCCAAGAGTCTCTGGGCAATTCAGTCTGTCTTTTTTATAATGTTATATAGCATTATAACATGTGCCACTCAACGTCACACAGCTGTCATAGTAAATAAATGAGAGGATGTATAGAAAAGCTTTGCTAAAGTTAAGAGCACCACACAAGCATTGTTATAGTATCAAATTTACCACTGAAGACGGACAACGGGAAAATCAGAGAGGAGGGCCCGAGTAAATGTCTCTTTATCTCTATAAATGGAATAGCAACTTGGCAAACTCAATTTGGCCTGTGTTATTGGTGTTTAGGAGAGGAAGGGGGCACACACCCTACTGATGCCAACATACCTGCGCTCCAGGAGTTGGTGGCTGCCCAGGCAGTACCACACCACAGACAGCAGTCACCCTGGAGGAGAGGTCAGCTGAAACAAGATGTCCCTGTAAGTACTGCGGTTCTTTCTCCTTACGCCACAGGGAAGCTTCTGGATTGGCCAAAACCAAGGCCTTCTCCAAGTCCTGCAGCTGGGCCTCTTCTAGTAACCTGAGTGAAATGAGGATCTCATCAATAACCTTAATCCAGAGGAAACCACATCAAGGTCTTCAGAAATGTTCCTGCTTACCTCAACCTGAAATGAATCAGTTCCTCACTATTAAAAATCTTCTTAAGGAATGACAGCTTGTGCTCTTCATTCATGCAAGTTACCACAGCAAGACAATGGGCTGTGTACCTGGAGAAAATCAAAGTATATAAACTCAGGACCTGCAGGTGATTCTAAAGAATAAAAAAAATTTGCTAGCCAACTGAATACTAGAAAAGGAAATCTTAAAGAATTAAAGTAACACATTTAAGAGTAGAAAATACAAATCAGGTATAATGAATTCACTTGACAGAACATGAAAAAGGTAAAACTCCACTCAAATCATCTCATTTTCCTCTGGTGGGACACATGAGTAAGGAAAGAGAGTAAGAACTCAAAAGTCACCAGCACAAAGGTAACATATTAAATGGTTTCTTTTCCCTCTTTATGCACACAATGATATACTCTCCCCAACATCCCCATATTAGAAGCATAGGAAAAACCGAATAGCTACGCACCAGCGGACCAAGGTGTCGTGGCTTCTGAGGAGAGGAACACACACACTCCAGTCCCAGAGCTCCCGGAACACAGACTGCTCTTGCTGTAAAAACTTGTAGGCTGCTTCCATTAGGTCCCGGAGCTTCATCCGCCTGCGCCCATAGCGGACTGGATTAGCATCTGAACTCTCTAGGAAGAGTCTTTGAAAGACTGGAGAAGTGTCCTTGAAATACCTCAGGGCAAACCTTCAGAAAGAGAATTTTCATTTGTTGTTAGGAAATTGATGTATACATCTCCACTTTGAGACAGGATAACAGAACAGAACAAGAACTCACTAGGGTCTGAGAACAGAGACAGATGCTAAAGCTCCCTAGTCCTAAGATTATACCTGTTCAAGTTCAGGAACCAATATCATGGCATGAGATATCTGACTAAGAGAATACAAACACCAAAGGTACTTATTTTGCAAGTGTTTACTACTGAAAATGCATTCGTTGCCCTAACTGGTTTGGCTCAGTGGATAGAGCGTCGGCCTATGGACTGAAAGGTCCCAGATTCGATTCTGGTCAAGGACATGTACCTTGGTTGTGGGCACGTTCCCAATAGGAGGTTTGCAGGAGGCAGCTGATCAATGTTTCCTCTCATCAATGTTTCTAACTCTCTATCCCTCTCCCTTCCTCTCTGTAAAAATCAATAAAATACATATTTTTTAAATGCACTCATTTTCAACAAATATTAAGTCAGACACTGTTAAATACTGGATGTACAAAACCAAAGAGATACTTTCCTTGAGGAACTTGCTATCTAGTAAGGAAGACAGCCACTTACAGAAACAATGAGAGATGCATACAAAAAGAATCAACTGAACCTTGGTTGCATCTTAACGATGAAGAGAAGATTCTCATGAAACAAAAGGTAGACAGGTTGGAAAAGAATGACAAAAAGCTTCAAGACATACAAAAAAAATTAACAAAATAGCAACAGTAAATCTAAATCCTTCCCTATCAGTATTACTTTAAATGTAAGTGGTTTAAACTTCAATCAAAAGACACAGATTGGTTGAACAGATTTTTTTTTTAAAAAAAGCTCAAACTACACACAATCTATAAGAAACTCATTCTGTACCTAAGAGCACACTGAAAGAAATAAAAAATAATAATAATTCCAGCCCTGACTGATGTGGCTCACTCATTTGGAGCATTGTCCTGTACACCAAAAGGTAGAGGGTTCCACTCCTAGTCAAGGCACATACCCAGGTTGTGGGTTCAATTCCCAGTCAGAGCACGTGCAGGAGGCAACTAATAGATGTTTCACTTTCACATCAAGGTTTCTCTCTCTCCCTCTCCGTTTCTCTCTCTGACTGGGAATCAAACTGATGATCGCTTGGTGCACAGAACAATGCTCAATCCATTGAGCCACACCTGTGGGGCAATAATTTTGTTTTAATTCCATGCAAATAGTAACCAAAGGAAGC